GATTCCCTAATCAGGGACTCGCATTGCACAGTGAGGCGTGTTAATCTAAGGCCAGTGGTTAGCACAGCCAATGTGACTAATCTCCTAGTAGAATGGTTATGCTCGATGCATACGTCGTATTTTGTGGTCCTTCAAAACCTACTGGAACATATTGATGAGTGCCTTACAGAGCAGTCCACCATTATCCTTCATTAATTCGGGTTCAACGAAATCCGGAACAGAAGCTCGTAGACGAATTAGAGCTGTGATAATGTTTCCGGCTTAGGCCTCCGAGGCGCCTCTGAACTAATGGACCATGGCTCAGGCTGTAGCAAATGAGCAAGATCCACTGTCAGAGACAATGCGTGGCGCTCGTGCTCTATACCGATGTTAGTTTATAATCTGTAAACTTGTTGTATCCAATGAATACGTTTTAAGAGAAGAGAGCCATCAACCTCTCCCTAACCTGCGAAGAGGATTATGAGACCGAGTTGGTCTGTTACGTAATCATTGACCTACCTGGTATGGATGACTGTGAGGGCGCTTGAAAAGTGCTATCCAGTGTAGCTCAATGGATCACATAGGTAGGAAAAGTATCGCCATGGCGAGCCGAATGACGGCGATGTTATCAATTTGCGACCATGATGGATAAGTGTAAGCAACCAATTCGCTTTGGATGTAAACAACTCGTCAAACTCCCAGGTAAAGTTAAAAAAAGGATAGCACAATTCAATGACATACCTAAAACATACCCGCTCAATGCGGAAACAACCGTAAGTTTGCGAGGTACTCAATGAGGGCACAAATCACTGTACTTGCGACAGTGCAGGCAGATCATGAATAGCAGAGCCCGCGAGCGGAATCACTTAGGCGTTTTTAATGGGTCAAATAACCCTGAGCCATGAGGAGTTTGCTGCACAGCGTGTAGCGGGATACGAGACATTAATTTCCCGGTTGGCTTCAAGGAGGGCAAAAATGGAAACAAACAGAGGACAGGCAAGTGGGACAAGTGGGAGAAGTTGTGTGGATAGATTGGTGAATTGGGATGCACAACAGGAACGAAGCAGGTGTAAGAACTGTGTTTGGGCTAAAATCGTGAGCGGCAGCCAATCGGAAAATAAAAGGGATTCGGTAAGCAGATAGCAGGCCGAAGTTTAGCAAATAGCACATATGGCTGGGAATTTTACAGTTAACAGAAAGAGGCATGTTTCGTTGCGGCGAGTGCTCTGTCGAAAGTTGGTGCTCAAGGGGATTAGACGAGTATTTTCACACTAGCGTATCAACCGCTCACCGTTAGAGGTGCATATTCATACAAATACAGCACCGCTCATTACTGGAGCACAGGTCGTGTTGGCCAACCAGAAAAGGATCATCACTGAAGAATTTTGCAAATTGACTGTTCGGAGCACCAGCTAGTGCTATGATATTTGTGCTTCCGTGACAAAAGGGCCCGTTCGATTGAAGGTCGAAATCATCTTTCACTGAGTCAGCGCTACAGTTCGTGGTGGCAAAAGCAACGACGACAGGCAGTCAAGTGACCCCGAAGCCATGAAGGAGTCAGCCATTCCGACGGCACTCACCTTACAGATGAGTACGTTTCATTTTCATTCTCAACCCGGGGTTCAGAATAGTAGTTAGATTGGCTTGACCGACAATTCAAATTAATTAGCATTGGATAGACACTACGTAAAAGTGTCACCAGTGTTAAATGAAAAGGATCGTACAGTAAGTAGGCATCTTCAGCCTTGCATGTGGTTCTTCGCGTAACAAGGCATTGATCGATAGGGTCTCTAATGATCAAGCAAGTGCTGCCTGCTGACCGATCTGTAAGTCAGGGCAAAACAGTGTTAGCGAGGATCGTGAGCACTAGAGAGGAACGGATGAACTGTGGTTTTCCGCTTAGATGAACATTAACTTCTCGATCGAACAAGAGCAATGCGGTGTGATAGCATGAATTCATAACCAGAAAACAAACGTCCATGAAAAGAAAATGGAGGGGGAAAGAACTAGGGCGTTAAAAAGGAGAGATGGAAGTAAGGTTGGAACGGGACGATAGGGATGAAAGAGTATAAGGGAATAAAAAAGCGGGAAGGTACACTAACTTCATTTAATCCACCCGCTCGTTGCTATTATCCTCCGCGGCTAGAAGGACATGAGAAAATTTAGTTGTGCTTTCGTTGTATTGCAAAGAGAATATAAGCACGTTGCCGATGCACGGAAAGGAGAACGACTGCGGTTTCCAACCACAACTTTTGAGTTAAACAAACTGGCAGCAAGACAACGAGAGTTTTGTAGGGCATACGGTAATTTTGTTTTAAAGTATAAGCAGAAACCATCGTTGCAAGCCCCAACCTTGAGGATCAATAGGCTGAGGCAGCCTAGACTTTAACCATCGATCAATCTGGTGCAAATGACTGAAGGTGTAAAAAACAAAATCGAGCAAAGCTTCATTGACTGGTGATGCATGCAAACCGTACCGCTACGTAAAGATTCAGTCGAACAGCGACGGTAGTGCTGGTTGGAAACAGTTAACGCTCAGTGGTAGTTACAAAGGCGATTCGCCAGTCCTTGAGTTTGGGATTAGACGCGACCACCACCAGCTAGAACTATAGCTTAGAAAGCAGTAGCAAGCAGAAGAGTGCAATATTTAAAGGTGTATTTTGCAGCAGAGCGGATGCAAACCGCTGAAGAACAAGAATTAGCCAGTGCCCAGTTCCGCGTCATGGGCTCTTCTAGATGGTAATGGTTAAGGGGTGCCTATGAAAGATAATGTCGATAGCATTTAATGCCACCGCGAGAAACAAGCCTTTGTAAACAATTTATCAGTGAGTCCGTAAGCAGGAAAGATTGTTTCAAGTGACTGAAGCTGCTCCGCTAGGGTATACATTGTAGGGAGCCTCCAGTTCAGAATGCCTCAACCATGAAAAGATCATCCCGTTCTCTATCATTTCTAAGTAATCTGCCTCCATATACTGAACGGTGCCGTAAAAAACAGATTAAGGGAAAGCAAGCCAGGTTTCGTTGGAATAGAGGTTGTATGGAACATAGCCAAATTTTATTCTAGTTGTTAAAGCCTCGCCACGTTTATTGGCGATGAGCCTAGTCGTATCTCTCGTTATTAAATGTACCTTAAAAGCTGTGGACTGTATGCCCTTTGGAAACGTCTATGTCCAATAAATACGAAAACGTCATCCGAGTGCTTTGCACACGTAGTTCGAGCAGAGTGATGGACTAACACAAATTGTGACTGCCATTCAAAATATCAAGCGGTTGAAAACAAGGATGCCCTCTCTCACATTCGCTTGTTAACTTCGATACTGACGAAAGTATGGAAGATGCATCCATCGAACAGAGGTATGGAGCTGCTACCAGATGATCGACTTCCCGACTTGGAATGCGCCGACGGCATTAGCATAATCTTAGCCCACAAACGTCCCTAACAGCACTAGTAAAGAAAGATCTGTGTGTTGTGCACACTCAAAATGCAAAGCGCACTTCTAACCCGGACCCTTGATGGGAAACAACTGTCATTCAGACATTCAAATACCCCGGGTAGTTAGATAAGCGTATGTAAAAAAGAAGATAAAATGGCAAAAAATGCGACAAGACTTTGAGGTTGTTTATTAGTATTCACCGGTTACGGAACCGGGAAGATATTATATTCGCCCTGGAGAGTATGGTTTACAATTCAGCTATACGTTCAACCCTCCTGTATGCTTGCGAACCCTGGCCCATCAGATCGACATATGCAGTCTAGCGAGAGACCACCAGTACCCTTGAAACTTTGCTCACGTCTGATTGGAACAACGCGAAAACAATGAGTGAATATACCGCCTGATTTCAGGCACACATAGAGCGCATACTGTTCAGCGCCGTTATTTCATGCACAGTGCTTTGATGGTGCGACTACCCGCTACGCAAGCTAGCACACTGATTCCCGCAGCGTATGTTGTTTGCGCGACCGGGATCTAGTTGGAAGAATGGAGGATAGGCCAGCCGATGACTTCGTCAAGTAGAATGAAGGTGGCCATTTCGCAATCAACCTCCTTTGGTGCATCAACACAACCGGATTGGAGTCGGAATGATGATGGACACAGCCGACAGCCCTGCCTCCTCACCCACTTAGCCTCTCCTTCCAATCACGGTCACTAGATCCATAGTGAAAAACGTAACACAATAACACATGCATTTATTTTGCTTCCGTATAAAGCATTATTGTCTCTTCTCTAATATCTTATCACATGGTAATGCGGAGCAGTGGTGGAGGTATTTCTCACCCGCAGTTAAAATGTGTGGTGAGGATGACTATAAGCGACCACACATTGCGGCATTTTGAAGCGATGTGGCTGTGTACAGTCTGTTCTCGATGGAAACGCAGTCCAGGTTATAATCAGTTCAACTAAACAGCCACAAGCCGGAGACCTGTAGCAACTCAAAAGATATTTCTGATCTATGTACACTTTTGTTACTCAACCGTACAATATTGGTTTTTGTTTTGATGCCGACCCTACGGCCATTGTTACCTACATCCGGCTCATCACTTGTCCACGGTGAGTACCGACACTGACGTACGCTATCGCCGCTCCATCGGTTTTTCGTTCAATTGTAGCCCTTCTCGAATACAATCCGTTGTGTCTGTTCTTCTGGTTTTCTGGTACCCACATCAGAGCAAGAACACTCTCGGACTAGTATAGACTAGTCCTACAGACTGAGGTGAGGAGGAATCAGCTCCCATGACTCACGTCGCCAGAATAACAGTAAATAAAAACGGTAAGAAAAAAGGTGGAACTCAATAGGACACACGAGAATAACGAATTAATAAAAAATTAAGTTAAACCAAACGGAATAGAGTGAAAGCCAACAGCTAGGTGCAAGAAACCGAAAACATGAATGTAAACGAGGACGTGACTGTGCCAAGTATGGTATAAATATGCATATATACAAATATATATTTATATATTTGCAAGTTATATACACGTACATAACGATATGTAATGTAAGCAAGACTAATCGTAAAGCACCTGATAATTTTTTGAATTTTCTTCTATTAACTTGCCGACGAACCGCAATTCATCCAGTAAATCACAAGCAATAGTTGTCAAAATCCTTCTTCGATATTCCCAAACCGTATAGTTGGCAGGGTTCAGGATCAAAACCGTCGCCGTTATTTCCAAAGCCCGTTTACTTCTTTCATCCTTCAGTAGAACTGCGCGCATATAATCGTTCGCATCCACAAACTCTGGGGAATAGGCAATCTTTACGACATTTCTTCCATCTTCATCTTGCGGAACTGGTGTAATATCAGACCATTCGGGCCTATCCCTATAAAACACGTACTTCTCCCGCGACTTCATTCAGGTAGGAGACTAGTCGTAGAGAAAGGTGACCCGCAGCAGATGAAGCAGAGAATGGATCGGTTGTGGATGTGAAGTTACATCCAGCCTACAAGAGGAGAGGCAATCTACGTCCACTTCTTATATATTAGTTGCATAAGTATAGTTGTATAGTGTATGGTATTGGATCATTGGATCATTGGAATGTAGAGAGCAGAAGGAGAAAGCCTTCGTCAGCTCCATCGCCTCCCATTCGTCACAGGGATCAAGGTAGATATTGCAAGTCGGTACCAAGTTCAAGTTCAAGCGAGAGTGGAACGATAGGATTATATTGTGAGTGTTCCTTCTTCGGCGGGTCGTTGAACCAGGAGTTGGCGAACTTTGAAATACTGATGGACCTAAAACAAAGACCGCATCACACCTTGTCCAACCAATTAATGCCCCGTATCCTGCCCTAGCAGTCCCTGCTGGGTCGGTTACGTGAAGTAAAAAAGAGAAAAAAAGTAAACGCAGAAGGCAAAAGAGAAAGTGGTAAGAGCTAAGCAAGTAGAATACCAAGATATTTGAGTCAATAAACAATGAACTGAAAAGTGAAGGTGAGTCAGCTAGGAAAAAGGAAAAGGTTTGCTGTTGCCACCCAAGAGCATGGAGCTGGCGCAAAACCCTTAACGGTAGGTTCCCTAACCACATGATCTGGAAGCGAATTCCAGCGATCTAAAACTCGGCGCGATAGACGAGTTTCCGTCCTAATCCTATCAGATCGTGGTTTATGCAGTTTTAGTGGGTGACCGCAGAGACTAGGTAACGTAGCGGGACTAAAAAGCCCTGACAAGTCCGGGCCAACCTTACCCGTCAAAACACGATAAGTGAGAATCAGGTCCCCGCTTATCCTTCGGTAGTGCATGGAGTAAATCCCCAAACTGAGCAAGCGTTCAGGATACGTCTGTAGCCGTCGACCCTGCACTAACCGAGTGCCCACTCGTAACACCCTCTCCAAGTTCATTTTGTCTCGGTTAAGACATGGTGGACAAGCCTGAATACAATATTCCAGGTGGGGTCGGACGAATGCCGAAAATAGCTTCACAAACAACTTGGCCGTTAAGATTCCGAAAGAGCGGCGGATAAACCACATCCTACGAAACTCTCGACAAGCAGCCTTCTTCCAGTTGTCTCCAGAATGAAGTGCTGATGCGTGTACGACTCCTAAATCAACCTGCTGAGTGACAAAAGGGAGTTCACCACCGCCGACAACATATCAGGTGGGAGGATTTGCAGCTCCGATTCGGAGAACGGAGCACTTCGCCCTACTTATGGGCAATAGCCATAAGATAGACCATTCCCAGAGTCTATCCAAGGCGCGCTGAATTGCCTCAGGACCCCCCGGGATATCCACAATATTCCAGAGCTAAAGGTCGTCAGCAAACATTAATGATGACACCCCTAGCTCTCCCGGCAAGTCATTTACACAGATCACGAAAAACAATGGCCCCAATATTCAGCACTGCGGGACGCCACTAAGTACAGCTGGGCTGGGCAAAGGCTACGCCCCACCCGTACGCAGTTCCTTCCCCTCAAGGAAATCACACACCCATTGAAGGGCACGACCAGATATACCGTACCATCTCAACTTTAGTGAGAGCCGAAGATGTGGAACCGTGTCAAAAGCTTCCGAAAAATCTACGAATAGCACGTCTACAGCGTGGCCACTGTCTACCGCTTCGGCCCAGCTTTCACGAGCTACAAGTAAATTAGTCTGACATGAAAATCCTTTGCGGAATCCAACTTGTGCAACACTGAGAAGGTTGAATCGATTCAGGTGGTTCTCTATTGAATCCCTTATCAGCTTCTCGAACAACTTGACTACTACGCTTGTCAAACTGACAGGCCGGTAGATCGCGGGTAGAGCGCTGTCATCGCCCTTAAAAATCGGACAGATGATTGCCTCCTTCCATTCCGAAGGTAGGCTGCAGCTGTCCAGCGATATTGAAAATACGCACTAGAGCGGACCACTCAGCTCAGTGGCCAGTTCATGCAACAGCTTCGGATGAATTTAAATCAGGACCGGACGCTTTAGTGGGATTAATGTCTTGCAGTAACGCGAAGACCTGAGTCGCCGTTATGCTAAATTCAGCTAAGCAGGAATCCTCTGGAACTCTTGAAACCAATTCAACCTGTGGTAAAGAGGTCTCCCGAGCAAAGACCCCATGATACTGATCACTCAGTATACAAGCCTTATCAAATTCCGTTTGCGCACGGTCCCGTCTGCACGCAATAAAGCCGGTATAGACAGTTTTGCCCCGCTGCGTCTTTTAACGTAAACAAAACACTTCTTGGGATTAGCTGCGGCCGAGTCCGCTAAACCCTGCTCGTATTGGAGACGAGCAGTTCTGAGATGTTGCTTACATTTATTTCTATTCTCTCGATAACTATCATAGGTACTGGCTGATGGAGCTGCTTGGTAGGTTCGCCAGCATCTAGACCGTTTCTTGAGTAGGAACTTGCCTGTGGTATCTATCCATGGAGGCTGTGCCCTTAACCCTCTTTTCCTAATGAGTGGAATATAGGGAGCGGAAACCTCCGTAAGGTATGCCTTAAATTTTTCTCGGGCTAACTGGACAGAGTCAGCCATCGGGATCTCACAGTTCAGAACTGGAGCCTTAGTTCGCATTGCAATAAAGTCCGCCCGCCAAATATTCGGAAGTAATTCAACAGCGGTCTCTTGGTGCCTTGAAAGAGCACCTTGAAAGGATATGTATGCACCGCAAGAAACGTCAGTCACGAAGTCCAGGGACTTAGCGAAAACCAAATCCAAAGTAGATGGTATTTGGTTGTCCATATACCTAGTGGGAAAGTCAACGAACTGGTGCAAAGGCACTTGGAGAGTCAGTTCAAGGAAGTCTGCACCGAAGGTTCATAATGCCGAATTGCAAGAAAGATCGACCCATCAGACTTCCGGGAGGTTGAAATCCCCTAGAACTAAACACTTATTCACAGACTGATTGCGAATAAAGTCAAGTATCCCCTGGAGGGACTTCCATGACTTCTGTATATCCCTATAACTGTAAACTGGGTAGAGGAAGTGCACAAAACAGCCGATAGGGCTTCAACAGTCTGATCCGTCGACTGGAATGTGCAAGTCCTCAACACATCTAAGTTACAGCGCACATGCAGTACAACGCCTCCGCCTTGGCGACCAACGGAGCGATCAGTTCTAAGCGCGTTGACACAAGAAGCAATAAGCTCCGAGTTTACTCAACAGGTAAGAATCCAATCGATGTTTGAAACATTCCTCCGACTGCGCATCCACGACATACACAGGTAGATTATTCCATTCGTTCTCTACTCTGGTAGACAGAGTGACGTCACAACGGACCCGAAGGCTCCTTTGTTTAAGCAATTTCCAATGGTGACCCCGTGTCGAACTGAAAGAATTGAGTGGAAAGAAATTCTGCAATTCAACTCCAAGTCCCCCTCTAACGAGACGCCGTGAGAAAATCAAATCCCCGCGACCTCGACTGCAGGCTAGGGAGAATAAGTTCAGGTACTGGAGACGATGTGAGTAAGGCAGGTTTCGTAACTCCAGAACGGATTTAGATCCTCTCCGCTGAACTTTTTCAATCAAGTTGCATGCAAATTTGGAAAGAGGATAAACAGCGGGCAGTCCATACTCAAGAATCGGACGTATATGAGAAGTGAACAGGAGCCTGTAGATCAACGGAGTCAAGCTAGAGAAGGATCGTCGTATAGCGAAATCAACCGGTTGGCAGAAGCGACTTTCCTCAAGGTATCTTCAGTCGATTTTAGTTCTGGGGTCACAACTACGCCCAGGTCCGTCTCACAATTAGAGTTCGGCAGCAAAAACCCACCGAAATGATAAACTCCAAATGGTTCTGAGGCCCTGATCGGACGAACGGAACATTTATCGTGATTTATGGGTAATTGACACCTGATCGACCAATCGTGCTGCGAATCGAGCCATGTTTGTGGTACATCCGCTTCATCTAGACAGGAGACTTCCATCCATATCTTTAAATCATCTGCGCAAATCAAACAATCTACCCGTAGTACAGATGCCAGGTCACTAATAAAGACTTTAAAATCTTCAGGGCCAAGAACGGAGCCTTGCGGAACACCGCTGGTCATATTTGCAGGGAAGGAAAGGGCCTCATTTACTTGCACATGGAAAGCTCGGTCGTGCAGGAAATCAGTGAGCCAAGAGAGGATTATTCCTGAAACACCAATACTGCGAAGTTTTCTAAGCAAAATTTCGTGTAAAACCTTGTCAAAAGCTTTACTAAAATCCACAAATACGACATCTAGCGGCTTACCAGCATCCATGGATTTAGCCCACTTTTCTCGAGCTTCCAGAGGATTGGTGACACATGAACGCGAAGGACAAAACCCATGCTGCGCAGCTGAATGATCTTGAGGTTCTGGAAGTGCAGGTTGAGAGTTTGCTTAAGAATCCTCTCCATAATCTTGCAGACGACAGATGTTAGACAAATGGGCCGATAATTCGTAGGATCTTGCCGATTTCCTCCTTTGTATATGGTCTTGACTATGCTCACTTTCTAGGCAAGCGGAAGACGCCCGGCCTCAAGTGAGCACCGAAATACGTGGCAGATTTGAAGAGCGATATATTCGGCCACCATCTTGAGGAAAAGAGGACGCAATCCATCAGGTCCCGGGGAAGAGTTGGGGTCTAACTCGCACAAAAGTTCGTATACCATAGTAACATTTATGTCCAAATCACTGAAAACAGAGAGTAAGGACGAATAACAATCAACGGACGGCACCTTTGTTGTATTGACCGATGAATAATGGCGAGCGAAAAGATGAGCTTTATCAGCATCGTCATGGAGCACGGTGGTAAGATCGTGGGAATGCAAGGACAGTATTCCACTTCCGGCCCTGGTGCTCCTTTTCAAGTAGGAGGAAAGCAGCTCCGGTATGGACTTGGAATGTTCAGCCAGCTGACCTTCGTATTGCTGCCGTTTCGTACGTTTTTTCGATGTACATAC